AGCACTCCCGACCGCGGCCAGCAACCTCCGAGCCCAAAAAGCCCATTTCTGAAGCCCACATTTGGAGAAACCCTAAGTGACGTCCAGAGAGGTCTTGAGCACTATAAATACATGTCTTAGGAGCCCTAGAAATTGTGTAACCTTAGAGACCACCGAAATATTTACTTCATATTCTTATTGTTTTTGCTTTAGCTTTTAGGGAGAGAGAGATTTGTTCTCTTGAACCCTTGTTCTTTCTTTTTCAATTTCGGTTTCTATTCTACTTCTTAATATTATGTCTTTGATTTCGTTCATTATGTCTGAGTAGTTTTATTGTTGTGATTAAGGGATTTTCGATGGGGATATATATGTTCGGTGAGGATTCCATTGGCTATTGAGCTGAATCTTAGAAATTTTTCTTCTGAATTCGTTTTTACTGCATGAGAGTAGCGTCATGAACTACAATCTGATCCAGATGCTTGGTGACACGAAAGTGTTCATCAGGTATCAGACCTAGTTTGGGAGAGCAAAAGAAACATAGGAGTGGAAACCTACCTATGGGCGATTTGTGATTTAGGACGAGTCTTAAACATAATGCATCTCTTCTCTTCCAGGGCCAGAGTGGAAACCTACTGGTCAGGGTTGAGAGAGATAGTTGTCTATGATCACGACAGTGGCGTATTCATACGTCCGTGACTCCAGTTCGAAAAGTTTAAGCTAAGATCTTATCAATTTACTCTCTAGCAATGTTTTGAATCGTTCGTACCACTGAGAAAACTTCCCTGAACCCCAACGCTTTCTTCTCCATTGTCTTACACCGTTTTTCTTTAAAGTTTTAGTTTAATATTGCCTTTCCTTTAAGCATTAGAATATCCGTTTATCATTTTTAGTCATTTTCATTAAGTTTAGTTATTACGTCATTTAATTTCCGTATTCTCTTTTAATATTTTGTTTTTAGATTTTAAACACACTACCAAACCCCCACTAAACCGTTTTTGTTCTAGACTTCCTTACTTTAACTTATTTCAAAGGCTTTTTGCAGGAAAATATCCTCCTTCCCTGTGGATTCGATCCCTAACTACTACAATAGATCAGATGTGCACTTGCGGCTATTGATTTCAATTAGGGTAAAACTTGACACCCACAACACACCGAACCATCAGCTCACAATATTCCCTTAAATACATAAACGATTACACTCTCCTCTCCTTATTCGACAACCCACGTGACTCCATTATTGGGCTTTTCTAAGCCCATGTCCAACTCCCCTAATTAGTATGATATTGTCCGCTTTGGGTCCAACTGACAAAGCCTGCACGAATTTGGTTTTGGGTTCCTTCCCAAAATGCCTCATACTAATTGGAGTTGGACATTACTTATATACTAGATCATATTGGTCTAAACTTCCGATGTGGGACTTTGGATTGATTCCCAACAATCTCCCCCTTAAGCCAAAGACCCTATAACTCTTGATCTCCAACCTACAGCGATACTTAGTACCATCTTGTACTTCTTAATCGCAAGGTCAACCTGAGGGTTTTTCTTCCTACAACAAACATTTAGTTCAATCCAACTTCTCCAGGTTCACTTTTCCTTGACCTAGGCTCTGATACCATTTATTGGCTTTTCTAAGCCCATGTCCAACTCCCCTAATTAGTATGATATTGTCCGCTTTGGGCCCAACTGACAAAACCTGCACGGATTTGGTTTTGTGCTCCTTCCCAAAAGGCCTCATACTAATTGGAGTTGGACATTACTTATATACTAGACCATATTGATCTAAACTTCCGATGTGAGACTTTGGATTGATTCCCAACATCTATCTTTTTCTCATCATATATATTATAAGCGAAGTAAAAATTTCGTTTAAAGCTCTCTCATTGAATCTTAGAGTGGCTAATTACCTTTTACCCGTCTTTAAAATTATTTTTAATTTAAAAACAAAAAAAAATTATTTACAACTAAAATCACGATTATAATATAAGTTGTAATAATATTAAATCAAATCAAAATACATGATTTTATCTCAATCTGATCAAAATCTACGATTTTATCAAATCAAAAATCACGATTTTACAACTAAAATCACGATTTTTTAAAACAAAAATAAAAAACAAAATTAATTTTATTTAAATTAATTTTTATAAAAAATATTTAAAATCGAAAATTATCATATATAATTATGTTACTCCATAAATCTTTAAGTAAATCTTACTTAATAGATACTTAGATATTGTTTTCTTTTTTTAAAAAAAAAATATTTATATGAATTATAAAAAAAACATTAAAAATGAAAAATCATCATATATAGTTATGTTACTCCCTTAATCTTTAAGTAAGTCTTAATAAATACTTAGATATTGTTTTTAATAAAAATATATATGAATTATCTGATTTGCATAAATTATAAAGATTTTTCAACCAATTTTTTTTCTTCACTTACACGGTTGTAATGTTTGGCGATCATGTAAGCTATATATTTCGTGTGTTTCACATTAGTGATCTTGTGACTTCTTAAAAAAATAGTTTTTGTGCTTTCTAATTTTCTATTCGGTTGTTATTTTTGTTTTATATTTGTTTCTGTTAGCTCATGTAGATCTACATTCTTTTATATATATTAGGCGATACCTTGTGTCTTCCCTTTTATAGCTCTTTCAGGAATATATTTTGTTCTGATGTATATTAGAAGTTAGGTTATATTTATATTTTATAAATTCTTCTTATTAATAATAGTGTTTGATGTTTTTTTTTTCTGTTTAGGAGGTGGTGTTTTAGCCAGACTTTCTTGATCGTTGATTGTTTAGTTTACTGCTATACCCAAGGGTAACATTTTCTTTTCTTTTTTGTGCTTTAGGTTTAGATTTGTGATTTTTTTATTAACTATCATATTTATGTTTTATATATTAGCCAGTTTTGGTGCACTTTTCTTTCTCTTTTATTAGTTGGGGCTGAGTCGAACCTTTTTTTATTTATTGATTCTTATCTGTTTTAAGTTTTGATTGTTTTTGTTTTTTCTTTCTTAGGTGCTCGCGTTTTATTCTTTCATCTTGCGATGCAACATATTTCATTTGCTGGTGATGAAGACATAGATTATGGTCATGAACCGAACCAGTTCTCGGAGTCAGATAAAAGAGTTTTATATGTTTTAAGAAATTATTACAAACGGATCATGTATTCTGTTTTGTGGTGTAGGCTCTTGGTGACGATTCAGAATGGTCTATAGGACATACGGTGTCGAAATCCCTCATGGCAATGAACGTGAGTTCACCTGGTTCTTGTGAAGGTTGCCAAGCTGATTGAACTGTTAGAAAAGGTACATGCAACTTTAAAAGAACACATACAAAAACATAGGTTTAATCATTTGATTATAGATTATTATTTGATCTGATGAATCCTAAATTTATAACAGTTCAAAAGAAGCTTCGGTGAACAAGGTGCAGAACATGGTGCCTGGTGGTCTGTGTTTTATCCAAGACCCCACCTGTCGCTGCCGAGAACAAAAGAAAACAAGCTAACAAGGAGTTTAGATCCAGCAAAAATGTTAGTCCACTTGGCATATTCTTACTCTCAAAGTTAGTTCTATTGATAATAATGATGATACATGAACAAAATTACTATTTTTTATTCAAACATCACTTTATTTGAATGAGCTTTGTGTGTGTGTTTGTCTCTTATGTCCAGTGTTGGGATATTTTTTTATATTGGTTTCTGGTTCCTTTATTTTACTTATGGGCAAAGACAGGAGAAAAAAAAGGTAACTATTTGTACTTTGATCTTTTGCACGTTTCTCCGACTGAAATCTTTTTCATGTGGAGTGCTTTCATCTCATGTGTTTCCAGTTGAGTTTGAACTGTTAATTATAAAATGTTGTTTTTGGATCAGAGTAAAGCTTCTCTTGCTTAAGTTTCACAAAAGATGTAAAATTTATGTTTAAGTAGCCAAAACTCTAAGTTTTCTTAAGTTTGTATGTTGGAAGGATTCAATTCCATCTAATTTTGTATTTTCTTTATTTTTTAAAATTATTTAATATGGTAACAAATAAATATTCTAGCACAACAATGTAAAAGAAATCGATGATAAATTATATACAAAAATCTGCAAATATTTGACCGTGAAAATATCACAACTCTTTTGTGGAGACTCCATTTTACTTAAAGTCTTATTTTGATATTTGTTTAATTTTTGATTTTTTTTGTTATTAGCATAATTAAGAAATTTTGAGAATTTTTTTTTTGGTATATATGTCTAAGTTCTTTTTTAAAGTTGATTACCCCGAAACAGTTTTGATTGTTCGAAAGGAGCAAACTATAAAAGTTAATGCAGTTTTCTTATCTAACAATAAATATAACACACTTTTATGGAGAGTTTTAAGTTTGAAATATGTATTTATCTTTTTTCTCAACCTCAAAAGATATAGAGTCATAAAAAGTATGAAGAGTACGTAATATGAAAAAAAATCATAAGGAGAAGAAGAATAAATCGTAAAAAAAAAAAGAAGACGAAGAAGATGAATGTGTTAAATAAAAAAAAAAATGTGAATGATAAATTTGAATAAGAAATATGGGAAGAAAAAAAAATGAAGAATAAGACATGAAAAAAAACAAGAAAAAATATGGACAAAAGAAGAATAAGGAAAAAATGATGAAGAAAAAAGAAAAAAAATAATAAAGAGGAAAAAGTAGGAAACGAAAAACTAGAATTTATTTTAATTAAATTAGTTTGTGGACTATTCAGTTATAAAGTATTTTTTAAGTAACTAATTTTGAATTTTGTTTACTTTTTTAGTTAAATAGGAAACGAAAAACTAGAATTTATCTTAATTAAATTATGTTTTAAATAGTTGTTTTAATTATTTTTAATTTATAGCATTAAATTTTTTTTTTTAAACTTTTTGGTCCGCGCAAGTTACGGACTAAATACCTAGCAACAGAATATAAGCCTGGTTATTTCTTAACCTGAGGTTAAAAGCTCCAACTTGCCACGTCAATATCTGGAACCACCTTCTAGAACACCTTTCATTTGGACTGGGCCGGAACACCTCTCATCTGGTACTGATAGAGAGGTGGAGGCTGTTGGGGCGTAGATGTAACAGACACGGTGCAAGTACAAGGCCTCTCTTTGGCGGTAACCCCGGTCCGTGAACGCTAACGTCCACCAACTCCGCGTAGTTTCGTCTAATCTACGCACTTTTTTTCTTAGGCTTCTAAGAAGCACAAAAGAGTGAAGTCAGTGTGACCCAGAAAGATATTTGACAACTTTTTGGTGTTCTTCGTCAACTACAATAAACCATAAACCCTAATTTCAACTTTCGATTGCTCAAAACTTTGGATCCTTTTGGAATCTAATCAGATTGGTGTCGCAGAAAACCACCAGGTAAATAAATTTGGTTTAATCGACACAACTTCGAAACAATTGTTTTGTCTTTGTTTGGAGTACACATAGCTTTGTGTGTTTGTTTTCAATTGCTTTGAATCGTAACAATTTCGAAATCTAATCCTTAATGATCAAAGTTAAGAATTTTGAAATCAAACTGACAAAACCTGAATCTCTGAATTACCAACATTTTGGGTGTGTTGATTTTGTTATTTCACTGTATTCACCGATTCAACTAGGTTTCAGACTAAAAGATGATTCTTGAAACGAATCAAGAATCTATCAGATTTTTTGCTCCTTTGTTGTTAGAAACTTAAAAAAGCCTTCACGAATTGTGTCGTTGGATCTAATCGGCTTCTTAGTTAGCTTTTGTCTTTCTTATCAATTGTTTGGATCGAACCAATGAAACTGGGAAACAAATTTGATATCCAAGTTTGTTTTGGTATAAGAAAATCATTTTTCTGTGATCAAGTTAAGAAGTTGAAATGGAACTTAAAACCCGAATTTCTGAATACTAAGTTTTTCAAAACAAACTACCAATCCAACCAGATTTCTGACTCTAAAACATGATCCTTTTAAAGAATCTACAATCATCAAGTTTTTGATTTGTTGTTAGAAACTCAAATCATTCACCAATTGTGCGTTGGGTTTTCGCTTATGTGAAGGGTTTTCTTTGATTGATTCTTTTGTTTGCTCTCCAGTCTTGTTGGGAATTGTTGAACATGAATTGTAAATTGAAGGCTGAAATTCTTCATTATTCAATCTTTTTTCAAATAGTTTAGATTGAGCTTATTGCCGTTTATACTAGCGTGTCTGTTAAGGACCTATTAAAATAGACAGAACATAGTCGGAAATTCTAACCTCTTAAACAAAAGAGATTTTAATACTTTGTCCATCCTTGTTATGCGAAGAAAATATTCCTTACTAAGAATCTGAATTAGCTGTACTTACAGCTTAAAGCCCTTCTCTTATTTGGCTGTTGTTGGATATTCCAATTTAGTCATTTGATGCGGATGAATATATCTTAGGGACGTTCAGTATGTGCAGCTTCAGTTTTTGAGTCAGAGAAAAAACCATTATGTCAAGTCTCGGAGGTATAGGGTTCAGTAACACGAGCAGTGCAACAACAAGGAAGAAGAGAAGCACCACACTGCGCCGGCCTTGGAATGAACGGCAGTTACAGGATGCTTCCTCATTGCCATCCACACCAATCCCTGACAATGTAAGTAACCACCAACATATGTACATTTTTGCAATCCAAACCTCATTCTGTAGTACAGGACAAGACTAGTTTCCCCAGTAAGTGTTGTGTCTTCATTCTTCTGTACTCTGTAGTATTTATGTAATCAGTTTCTTCTCTTATCTTCCTATCCAAATCAAGAAACCTTTGAATCATTGTGAAAACTTTTGAGTCCCTTCTTACTGTGGATCTTCATTTCTTCTACTACTACTATATGAATAATCATGAGTAGGAATTGGCCTTTTGTTTGCAGAATGAGAATAAGATGGAAGAGAGAGAAGCGGTGGAGTCAGACGAAGGTTCAACAAATGGTTCGTTCCAAGGAAGCAACCTAGTGAAGCAAGGTGGAGGACACAGCACTGCATCCACTGAAGGGTTTCTTGCCCCTTCCAATAAGAAAGACTCGATAGACACATCAGAGCGTCGAGCTGGTTTTGATGTTCTACCCGTCGTCAAGAAGGTTAAACTCAAGATCGGTGGTTCGTCAAGAACTATAAATGCAGTATCTGCATCCGACAGTGCTTCTGAACTAAGAGGGACACCGTTGGATTCAGCAAGCAAAGCAAATTCATGTAATGATACACGAGATAGCAAAACAAACACATATCCGATTCGTAAAAGCAATCGGATCTCTAAACGACGGGTTCTTGATGAGGAACTCGATAGTCTTGATGATGATGATGATGACGAAAAAATTCAGTTTCTCAGAAGGGTGAAAATGGCTAAAGCTGTTACTGTGGAAGAAGATGTTGATGACGATGGAGAAAGGAGCAGAAAACATAAAAAGCTCTCCAAGGTGATGAAACAAAACGTAGGAACATCAGAGAAGTCAAGCAAGAAGGTTAAGACGGTGAAAACATTTGACGATGCTGATTATGTCAAGGAAGATGAGGAAGAAGTTCTGAGTGAGGCAGAGGTTGGGGTAGAAAACAAGAGCGCGAGAACTAGAAGAAGAGCAGATGATGAAGGTTTTAGTGAGCTTAAGCCAGAAATGACTGTGACTACTCGTCGACGCTCTGGACATAGCGGAAATGCCATTGAGTTTCCTCTTGGCCTACCTCCGGCGCCACCTAGAAGTGAGCTTGATAAACATCTAACCTGCTCTTCGTTTTCTGTTATATATCAAGACAGTCACTAAAATCATAATCGTGATGGTGTTATGGACATTCAATGTTGTGCACACAATAGATAGGCTATATATTTGCTTAATCTATGTTCCAGTCTAGGTTCTTATCAAATAGTTCTCCGAGTTAAAGCTTTTTCACTTGTTTTGTTTGTTTACAGAGCGGAAAGAAAATGGATTAGAGGGTGATCAGCAACTAAAGAAAGCTGAGGCTGCACAGAGACGTAAACTGCAAGTTGAAAAAGCAGCTAGAGAGTCAGAGGTTTGGTCCTGATTTTCGTTTCAGTTGGCATGTGGTTAAAATCAAAGCTTACATAATCTTTCTCACATTGGTAGGCTGAAGCAATCAGGAAGATCCTTGGCCAAGACTCTAGCAGAAAAAAGAAGGAAGATAAGATAAAGAAACGCCAAGAAGAGAAGGCTAAGGTATAAAAACTGTGGAAAGATCATTTGTATTTGTTTCTTTTGGTTCATGACTGTATAAACCATTTTCTGTTTTTATGCAGGAGAAAGCTGCAGACTCGTTTGCCCGTAGATCAGACACGGTGAAGTGGGTGATGGGTCCTTCAAGAACCGTTGTAACCTTCCCAGAAGAACTTGGATTACCAGCTATATTCAACTCTGGACCTCACAGGTATATGGTTTTATTAACACAAACTTGGATTAGCTCATAATGTTATGTTTTTGCATACAATTTTTTTGATTTGGAGATTTAACGAGGCAGCTATCCTCCACCTCGGGAGAGATGCGCGGGTCCAGAATGTACCAACCCATACAAATACAGAGATTCAGAATCAAATCTTCCATTGTGCAGCCTCCGATGCTACAAGGCCATCAAAGGCTAAGTGCTTATTCAAGCCGTTACTAAAGTTTGTGACAGAAAATAATATGGTTCTTGTAAATAATAGTAATGGAGCAACATAGGTATGGTATAACGAACCGATATATAGATTTGTGCGTTTTTGTTATAATAATCAAGTGTATGTAAATAAACATAGAATATGATGTATGAAAACGGTCTTATGTAATTGTTATGTGCTTTTATCTCATGATGTTATATTGCATAGAATATGATGTATGGCTGTGACTTGACTTGTGTGGGGGTGATTAAGTTTTGCTGAATTGTCTTCTTGGGAAGCATGATGATGATAGGACCGTTTTGTCTCTGATACCAACTAATGCACCGTTAATAGGATTTGATCATGGGCTCACGAGTTCGATAGCGTGTGCTCGGAGCTCAAACTTGTTGAGATCAAAAACTTTTGATGAGAAGAAAGTTATAGTAATTCAAGACCATATTACAATGATGCTAAGCAAGTCCTATTTATACATCTAATAAGATGACCTACAGTAATCGATTAGAAGGATAAATGTGGGGAAAAAACTCAGGCAAAAAAATTTGGCATATTAAGCAGTCTAGCCCGATGTAGCCAACGAGTTTAGATAAGGTGAAATGAAGAGTTGAGATTATGAGCCAAGCTGTATGGTCTACCAAGGTGCAAGTTTGCGGTTAGAGAAGACCAAATGCCAACTTTGACAACACCAAATACTCATTCAAACTAGTGAACTAATGTGATTGAATATAATGATCGAATTTTCAGACTTAAAGACCATTTATGGCGACTAAGGTGAAGTGAACTTAAAAACATTAGATACGATCTCGAGATATAAGGGCAAAATGATACGATCCTCCTAAGAAATTGCATTTGCTTGATCGGTTGAGGTTGAAAGAAACTCGGTCAGGAACGTTGCTTGGAGAGATGCTAAAGCGTGAAAGATTATTTCAAAATTCCTTAGGCCCAATTCGCGGAAACAGATCAAGAATGAGAGAATAATTACACCGAGTTTGAGATTTCGCGGGTAAATGATGAACAGGCGTGAGACAAGTCTCGAAAATTCTGTTGTCCCTAAACTACTTTGAACGAAATCGGAAACTAGATGAGATAGAGGCTGCGTCGAATTCTATGGATTGAACTCGATAAACCTATGAAACTTTCAAGGCTAACTACATATGAAAGAAAAACTCAGAAAAAACAAGAAAAATCTCGAAAATTTGATAAAAAAAAGAAGTGAATGAAAATACATAAGAGTCTGGTTTTTATATAGAGGCGAAAAGAAGTGCAAAAGAAAAAAGACATAAAAAATAAATGATAGCATTTAAAACAGTTGAATGACCACTCGACTCCCCTTGACTGACTCTTCGGTTCTCTCCGCGAGTGATCCTTTGCCTTCCAAACCATATAACGATCCACCAACAAACCACGATCAATGAGTTGGGCGTAGCCTTTAACCTCATTAAAATTCCATCCCATAAACCTATTGGGACAAACTTGAGTACAAGAAAAAAGAATATTAAAGAATTATACCGATCGAATAAGTCAGCAGCGTTACAGCCTAAGCGTTTGGTGTAACGTCCGAGTATTGGACTCGTAGGTCGTACATAACCTCCAAACAGCCAATGATAGCTTCTTAATACATGATCGTGTCATCGGTCCATTTGGCACGGTCAGATTCTCTATCAGGTCTTGTTTCTCGTCCCGCGTTTCGTCTGGCTGCTCGACCCATGGATCGTCCGCTGGTTCCAGGTTCGTATCACAAAAGCAAAACCAAGAAGTTAAATTTCATCGTCGTCCTCTGCTAATCTAACCATTTTTATATGCGAAAAGATATGAGGGTTATTTCGTCCTCCTTTGGATAAATTAACACCCGCCACTTAAAATTAGACTATCGGTTTAAAAATGACTCCGAAAAAACAAAAATGAAGAAGAAAAAACACAAAAACAAAAAAATGGCTTTGAAACTCTACTCCCTCTCTTCTCCACCTTCAATGTTCTCGCAATCAAGGAGATTCTCTTCTTCGCTGATTCCAATAAGATCAAAATCCACACTAAGAGCCTCTTCATCCTCTGGATTTCGCTCAAAAATCGGAGTTTATCTGAGCAAAACGGCGTCTTGGAAAATGAGTGTGGCAGCGGAGAGTCCTCCGGCGACAGTTGCGGCGGAGGATTGGGGAAAAGTATCGGCGGTGCTATTCGATATGGACGGTGTGCTTTGCAACAGTGAGGATCTTTCCAGACGCGCCGCCGTCGATGTTTTCACAGAGATGGGTGTTGAAGTCACCGTGGATGATTTCGTTCCTTTTATGGGAACAGGTAAATACAGATTTCAATTTCCAATTTTGGCTCTTCGTTTATGAAATTTGAACTGGTTTTTATGTTGATGATTCCAAATTTCTGATGTTGTTTCTCGAATTTCATTAAGAAATGAGTTTTTTTGTTGAATAAATTTTACACTCAATTCAAAAAGAAAGAAAAACAAAAAATCACCACATTTAACCGGTCACTCTCGAATTGTCAAAATTAATATGTCATCCTCTCCAAAATTTGGTCACTTTAAGGTCTAATGAGTAGAGAATGATTTGATTTCAATGAGCGTTTAAGATGATAATCAATTTATTTGATTTGGCAATTCACAGGTGAAGCCAAGTTCTTGGGAGGTGTTGCTTCCGTCAAAGGAGTAAAAGGATTTGATCCTGATGCAGCTAAGAAGAGGTTCTTCGAGATTTATCTCGATAAGGTAAATGCTCTATCGAGTTTAATAATAGAAGATTGATATATTCATGCTTCTTGGTTAGAATTCATTAGGAGAGTAATCAACTTTACATTAAGGATTGATAAAGAAAGTTTCTTTGATGTTCTTGAAAGAGAATGTGACCAAAAGTCATGCTTCTTTGTGTTTGACTTTATGTAACTTTTATATTCTTCTACCGATTTATAGTACGCAAAGCCAGAATCTGGGATTGGATTTCCAGGAGCACTAGAGCTTGTTACCGAGGTGTGGAAAAAAACTGAAGTTGTAGCCACAATTATAGTTTTTGGCTCTGGTGATTATGATTTTTTGTGAAACTCTTTGAAACAGTGTAAGAACAGAGGTCTTAAAGTTGCTGTTGCATCTAGCGCCGACCGTATCAAAGTTGATGCAAACCTGAAAGCTGCTGGTTTGTCTCTAACCATGTAAGACTATAACAACCTCTGATCTCTTGTGTAATCATATCCTAATTATCTTCTCTTTATGTATTTTGAGATGTTTCTGCTGCTTTTCAGGTTCCATGTTTAAATTTAATGTCTGTTGATGTTAACTTTTCAGGTTTGACGCCATTGTTTCAGCAGATGCCTTTGAGAATTTGAAACCAGCTCCAGATATTTTCTTGGCTGCTTCAAAGAACTTGGGTGTGCCGACAAGCGAGGTAATAGTCATGGATATAACCGAAATATATTGATGGAAAACCGTATCTCATGATTCAGATTTTACTCTCTTAAGTCCATTTGTAGTCTCTAAGAAGTCTCGTGGAATAGTTGAACAAAGCGTGCCTTAGAGAAAGGATCCGTTACTGTTAAGATAGTTATAATTGCGCCAACAACATAATTAGTTGTATAAATTGCACATTCTAGAAGCTAAAAATCAAGTAGAGTAAAAGAGTACTTCTTGTACCAGCCTTACAGAGTTATAGATCGGATACTTGTTTTGTCGATAGAGCTATTACACAATTGATGTCTTTTGTACAAATTTTGTAGTGTGTTGTTATTGAAGATGCACTTGCCGGAGTCCAGGCTGCACAAGCTGCAAACATGAGGTATTTTTGCTTATGTGTGTCAGAATGAGGCAAAATGTTACTACAAGTCAAAATTTTGTTATTTCTCATAGCATTTTGTATTCAGCTTGATTTTATACAACATTAGTAGCTTCAAGATGTCTCTACCATTTTATGTTAAATCCATCACTTTGCTTTATTCATATTGTTTCATCCGAAGAATTTACAAATTATTCACAATGTAGAATGAAGAAGTTGTAGCTCTCTGTAATTGTTAAATCCATCTACTTGTTATCTTACCTTTGGTTTTGGATCATTTTTATTCCTTTGCAGATGCATAGCTGTAAAAACTACTTTATCCGAAGCAGTTCTTAAGGACGCTGGTCCGTCAATGATCCGAGACGATATTGGAAACATTTCAATCAATGACATTCTCACTGGTGGCTCAGATTCTACCAGTATGTAGTCTCAAAGAAATTCGCTGCAAAAACATTGTTCGTGTCTTTATCTCTTGTTTATCCTTTTGAAAGAAAGAAAATCTAAATACAGGGGCTTTCTTTGTAATGAGATTACATTTATCATATCAAATTTGACACTGCAGACATTCATTTATACTGTAGTTATCTCTTGCCTATAATTCTTCATCAAGTTCATAGTAGCTTACATAATTTCAACCTTTTTGTTTTACATACTTGAGTACTCATAAGATTGCAGCCCCATAGAACTGAGAGCTTAAGTGCTTCCGCAGGAAATTCTGCAAGTATACTCGAAGAGAAAACTGTCAGTGACAAAACCAACGGCTACGGGTAAGAAAGGTTCATTAAACACACAATAAAAAACAAGTAGAAGTCCTCTTGTTATCAGTCATACTCATATTCTTCATGTACGTTGTTTGTAACTGAGCATCAAGAATAGGGTTTATGTTTATAGTATGCAAAAACCTCTAGAGCCCCCCTGTTTTAGTTCTACGATATTAATATTGAGTCGCACTACTTAAAAGTCCATGAATGTATCTCATGGACATTAAGTAAACGTTGAGACAGTAAAATCTATGAAGAAAGAAAGAAACATTCTACTCATTGACTGGTTTCATCATACAAGATTGGATAAATGATTTGGCATGTGGAAAATTTCATATACTAGAGATTGCAGATGAAAATTTCCAACAGGTTTCAGGGTTCTCGTCGAGATATACTGAGGTACGGGAGTCTTGGAATTGCTCTTTCTTGTGTTTACTTCGCCGCTACCAACTGGAAGGTAAACCTGAAAGCCTACATTCAAGAACATCTTCTTTGTTGTCAAAGCTTTATATATATATATATATTTATGTTATGGAGTTGCTTTTTTTATGTATAGGCAATGCAATATGCTTCTCCGAAAGCTTTGTGGAACGCATTTGTCGGAGCAAAAAGCCCTTCTTTTACACAGAACCAAGGTTTGGCCTCTTGTCAGAATTTCCACCAGACTTTTTAAGATAAACTTT